TATTGGGTGAAAGGATATTAACCCATGAGGGTATTGGGTGCAAGGATATTAACCCATGAGGGTATTGGGTGGAAGGATATGTACACATGAGGGTATTTGGTGGAAGGATATTAAACCATTACCCTATTATAAGGAAAGATATGTACCCATGAGGGTATTGGGTTGATAGCTATGTACCCATGAGGGTATTGGATGGAAGGATATTAACCCATGAGGGTATTGGGTGGAAGGATATGTACCCATGAGGGTATTGGGTGGAAGGATATGTACCCATGAGGGTATTAGGTGGAAGGATATGTACCCATGAGGGTATTTGGTGGAAGGTTATGTACCCATGAGGGTATTGGGTGGAAGGATATGTACTCATGAGGGTATTGGGTGGAAGGATATGTACCATGAGGGTATTTGGTGGAAGGATATGTACCCATGAGGGTATTGGGTGGAAGGATATGTACCCATGAGGGTATTGGGTGGAAGAATATGTACCCATGAGGGTATTGGGTGGAAGGTTATGTACATATGAGGGTATTGGGTGGAAAGATATGTATCCATGAGGGTATGTACCCAGAAGATAACGTGTATAAAGACCTGTTCTTAATCTTCCAAGCTTCCGGTTGTATTCTCTTCTCCTCCCATACACCTCGTTGGAACAAAAACAATTGTCCTTTTATACCGGAAACTTGCCTTGTTTTTATATTCATCATTATACACTGTAAAACATACATCATACAATACATATGTATATAGAATCTCCAAAAAAATTGTCTTTACCACAAACTCAAATTTTCTATCCCTATATCTTTGCAACTTGATGGTGTTAACCTTTGATATTTTAAATTTAGATTATTAGATCTAACAGAATTCCTTTACATTGTATTTTACATTGTTTTAAAATGAATGTTAAAAACTGATTACTCGCCTAATACTTATTTATGAATTCTACTAGATCACGCCCCAAAGATTGTAATATCAATGGTCTGACAGCTCAAAGATATTTGTAAATTGTAATTTAAAAAAATGACAAAAAAGGAATATGATTTATCACATGGACTTATTGAAATGGAATGAATAGATACAATAGGATTAAAAAATGAGATTATTGAAAATGAAATGAAAATGTATTATGGATTAAAACTGAGATTATTGAAATGAAATGAAAAGGGAGTAGGAATAGGATTAAGAATGAGACCATGAAATGAAATGAAAAGGGACGGAACTAGGATTAAGAATGAAAAGGGACTAGGATTAAGAATGAAAAGGAACAAGGATTAAGAATCAAATAATTGAAAATTAAATGAAAAGTTGGATTAAGAATGAGATAATTAAATTGAAATGAAAAGGGAGTAGAATTAAGAATGAGATAATTAAATTGAAATGAAAAGGGAGTAGGATTAAGAATGAGTTAATTAAATTGAAATGAAAAAGGAGTAGGATTAAGAATGAGATAATTAGATTGAAATGAAAAGGGAGTAGGATTAAGAATGAGATAATTAAATTGAAATGCAAAGGAAGTAGGATTTAGAATGAGATAATTAAATTGAAATGAAAAGGGATTAGGATTAAGAAGAAGATAATTAAATAGAGATGAAAAGGGAGTAGGATTAAGAATGAAATAATTAAATTGAAATGCAAAGGAAGTAGGATTTAGAATGAGATAATTAAATTGAAATGAAAAGGGATTAGGATTAAGAATATAATTACATGCTAGCTTGGAAAATAAGCGTTGCACGGGTACTTATAGTTACTTCCGCCGTTTACCCGTACTTGGTCTTAAATTACGATTTTAGCTTTTTTCCCTTTACAGGTCGTACCACTGAGTTCCCCAATCAAACTTTTAGGCAAATCGGTCCAGTGATTCATGAGTTATGATCGGACATACAAACAAGCAAACAAAAACTACTTTATATATATATATATATATATATATACAGATGAAATGAAAAGGGGATAGGATTAAGAATGATTTTATCTAGCAAATATGGTAGAAGTTTAAACTAAACATTTACATACAACACATGGCTCCCTGGCTAAATTTACATAGTTTCAAACATTTGCTCGCAAACTTAGATTCATAATGGGCCAAGTTCAAATCTTCTGATATTAAATATTACAGTTATCTGATGCACATCAGGTCTCTATATGTTCAATATTCAACAAAAGATTAAGATATAAAATTTTAGCACTTTTTGAATTTTCCATCTAATACGCACTGTACGCACTTAAGGTCTCAAGCAAAAATCTATGAGAATTTTGATTATTTCTTAAAAACTAAAAACTAACAATTGTATTATAGTGCTAAAATGTACATGTAAAGGGCTACAGAAAAGCATTGATCACTCGTACACTCCGTGACTGGAATACGGTACGTTATGTTGCTCTTGAAGTCCTCAGAGCTTGGTATTATGTTTTCTGGTCTGTTTGCCCTAGGATCTGACCTTCTGGGTTGTATTGTCTGTTCTTTTTTCCCATATAGTTCTAGTATTAACTCCTAAGGCTCTGAGTTCTCTAATATCTTGAGGACTCGGAGAACTTCGATTTTGAAGGTTTATCTAGGACTGCCTGTGTATCAGAAGTTGGCTTAGTTTCGAGTAAAATCAAAACTGTATAGGAGCTACGAGGTTACAAATTCGTAGCCGTAATGTCACATTAATTAAGCTTTCTCCTTCTACTTAATTTGCAGCAATGGGAATATGTTTAAAATTAATTGTAAATATTTAATTTACCATGCCAAATTTGCACAGATTTCACAATTTAAAAAAAATTTAGTTGTAATAAATAATTTCAATTTTAGGGTAATATGCAGTGATAATCAAAAAATCTGGAATAGGAAGACGACTTTTAGAAACAAGTTATAACTTTAAAAAGTTCAATGACTTGAGACACAGCAAATAGCAATTGTGCAATTTAAAAGACCCATTTTCCTTAATTAGTGATTTAATAACTGTTTATAATAAAACTATTTGCTAACATCTAATACACTTAAGTATTGCTATTATGTCGACTCACTATTCTATGGTTTTCTTGTATCATTCACTATATGTTTCAGTTTAGAGTATAATCCAATTAATTTTTTTGCCCTTTAAAAATTGGGGTTTTCTGCGATATTTGCAACATATTTTTCTAAATTAATTTATTTACATCTGTTTAAACTCCCTTGGGACCTTTTAAAATGTACTTTTAATGAAAATAAATAACAAATATGTGTATATATGAATATCACAGACAGCAGGATAAACACATGTTTATTACTTGCATTATATTTTATTGTATTGGACCTAAGGGACTATTACAATATCAGAACGAATTCATCAAAAACGAAAAGAACATGTTTCATTAGATATAGATGTAAAAATTGAAAAGAAAATTTTTATTATTTTGAGTAATATATATTTAAATATCTACTTTGCTTGTATACGACTGGCTGATGACTCGAATGACCACAATTTGTACAATTTTACCCGGAGATAGTTTTCGATATTTATTATTTTTTAAATTTGTGAATGATTAAAAACTGCCACTTTCTGCAGAATAACAGATAACATATAAAATTGTTGTTGAGAAAGGAATGCGAAGCGCCCTAAAAGCCCAGTATTTTAAATTTAGAAGCCCTCCAAATTCAGGCAGGTTAAAATATTACATAATTGCATGTTCCAAAAATTTGCTTTTATTAGATTTGATCTCGATATCCAATGTGAGCACTTTTGAATTATTTGAGTATCCATGCTGGATTCCTTAATTAAATTTTAACCTAATTGATCCCAAGGTTCACAAGACACCCTATAAAAGTCCTTTTTTTGGTACGTACTGCAGTAGTGAAATATGTGGTACGTACTGCAGTAGTGAAATATATGGTACGTACTGCAGTAGTGAAATATATGGTACGTACTGCAGTAGTGAAATATATGGGTTTTAGAGGAAAGTGAACACAACAGTTTTGACTTCATGTTCCTTTGAAAGCAAAAAAACAAATAATTTTGTAGAATTGTCTGAATACAAAAATTATTATCATATCTACATTTTCAAATAAGTAAATAATCCCTTTACCTGTACTTTGTTGTAGATGGACCTACAACCTCATCATTCTACAAGATATAGTGATCTTAATTACTGGTAGAGATAAACAAGTTCTCTGATCTTGACGAAATTTAAAGACATCCTAAGCTTACTTCCCGCTATTGTTGTTAATATAATTATTTAAGTAAGATGTTATTATTAACTATTTTATGTTTCTAAAATGCGTTTTTACAAATAATCAGTGAATGAATGGAGTTCTATGGAACAAATAAAAAACTCAGTGACTTGCAGGTTTCTCCACAATAAAATATGTCCAATCTGTGTAAGCCTAAATATTTAGGAAATATTTAATAATAAGTACTGAAATAAAGTAGACTAATTTTAAAAAGGAATTCTAAATTGAATACCCAAAAATTATGTTTTCAGAACAAAAAGAATAAACAGCTTTGAATTTACTTTACTTGCATCAAATGTATGTTTCAGTTGAAGATAAAAGTAAATTTTGTCTGTTATTTGTTTGTCATATTAATTCAGATGGCCTAGGATCTTCATCAAGAACATTTTGTATTCCTGTGATATAAAAAACATTTTCCAGATTATAGTTTCAATTTATATTTATATCCTTGTACAAGCAATAAGCCATATTCAAAAAGAACCAAATGGGCAGCGACACTCATATAGAATAAATAGGATCACAATTGGAGCCATACAAAACATATCACCACAAAACTTATCACCACAAAACTTATCACCACGAAACTTATCTTTTCAAAACTTATCAGCGACAAAACTTATCAAAACAAAACTTATCAACTACAAAACTTATCAAACTACAAAACATATCAAACTTAAAACTTATCAATAAAATTCATGAATCTAGATTTTCAAATCATGGAAATGCTCCAACAATTTTTTTAAAAATCCGCGAATTTTACTAGAAAATTCGGTAAACTCTCAGTTTCCCAGCCCCTTTCAACCGAGATAGAGGCTAATTTTGTTCTCTCACAGAAGGGTACAAACTTACTTAAGGATGATGAAAATCATCTGTACAACAAATACAAAGACCTGAAGGCTATGTAGGCAAGCTTTGATAGTGTACCCTTGAACACATATATGTTCAATATTGCCAGCCTATTTACGATGAATAATGATTTTTATATATAAATTCTAAGTCAAGTTTTAGTTGTACAACGTTTAAAAATGTTTTGAAAAATAAGTTTTGAGTTTGATAAGTTTTGTAGTTTGATAAGTTTTGTTGGTTGATAAGTTTTGTAGTTTGATAAGTTTTGTAGTTTGATAAGTTTTGTGATGATAAGTTTTGTTTTGATAAGTTTTGTTGTCAGATAAGTTTTGTTTTGATAAGTTTTGTGGTGATAAGTTTTGTGGTGATAAGTTTTGTGGTGATATGTTTTGCATGGTCTCCTCACCATTTATCTGTTTTGAATAACATTAGTTCACAATTTTTTTCTTTTTATTACAATTTGTAGTAATGTTGATAAATAAACTGAGAACATAAAAATAGTATTTCTTTTTTAAAATGTATATTTAAAGGGGTTTAAAATAATTGAGAATTTTTACATTTGTAATTTTATGAAATTTAATGTTTTAGTTTGTACATTGTAGTTATATCAAAAATATTTTTGTTACCTGAGCTGAAAACTTTAGAATGAAATATCCAATTAGAAGATAACGTTGCTTCTCTGGAGTTTAAATTCATGAGGAGAACAAGCAATATTTAAACTGGATATTAAGAAAAAGAGTGGTTTAAGCCTTAATCCTGATATCCACCATTCTAAAGTTTTCAGCTCAGATTATTTTAATTGTTGATAGATTACTAAAGTTTGATTTACGAAAATTTGAAAAAATGCACAATATACAGTTTTTACAGCCCATATATAGATGTTAAACTTTACATACATTTTAAATACATAGATTTGCAAGAGTGGTTTGAAAATAAGTATTTCCAATTCTTTCATATGGTCTATGTAACTTTCACATGCCTCAGGCCTTGATTTTACAAACCCCGGATGGAATCAACAAGATTTCATGAAGAAATATATTAAAATGTAAATTATGACATTTGAAACAGAGAAAAGATTGTAAACACTATGTTAAGCTCCTTAACAAAGTATTGTTAATATATTAGATTAAATCCCACAATCCACAATATTAATAGATGTAGATGAATCACTCCCCTCCCCCACCCAAAATTAATCTGTATTAAAAATAATTTTTTGGATAAAAAAAAGTTATCAAGATCGAGTAAAAAAGACCAGTCGATGGTAAATACTTTTACTAATTGATATGAACATATTTCAGATATCATAGATTTTTTTGAGAAATTATGATTTTTTGGAAATCAACGTTAGAATAGGTGAGCAGGCAAACTAATTAAGAAAGTATGATTTTTTTGTTATGTGCTTTGATTTGATTAAAATTATTTATAATATCTTATGCTTTTCTCATTTGTGTTTTTTTGTAGTATGGACACGTACTTTTGATGTTGCCATTTCACTTGGTAATTTTTCTTTTTGCCATTAATTATCATTTATCCCTTTATTCAAGGACTAGTGAACTTTAACACACCTGTAAGTCTATCTGAAGGTTCAAAGAACTGAATTAAAATTAAATATACTTTCTTAAATGTGCTATATGTGTCTATATTAAGATTTATTTCTTTTTTATTTAGAATTGTTAAGGTTTAATAAGTCCCCAAAATTTTAGGAAAAATTCAACCCCTTTCCCAGGATACATGTGTAAAAAATCAATACCTTTAAACCTTCAATGAGATGGAAAGGAGCTGGTAAGGGTAAAAAAAAGACCAACTATGTATTAAAAGCCTTTTTTTCAATCACATATGTTTCATGAAGGTATTACAAACAGATGTAAGATATGGAGAAATGTAACCCCAAATTTTGCAGTAAATTGGTACAGAGATGGGTACAGGTGGAGTCAAAGAAATATAAAATGGTTAACATATCTTTATTACAAAGAATTTCAAGGAATCTAATAATATTTTGCCTGACTCAAAAATCAAAGACTAATTGCGGAGATTTATGGGATTGCAACATATGTTATTCATGGACCATAAACTGCTATTGCATTGCTTTTAAAGGGCTTGTTGAGTTATTATACTTCACAGGCTGATTAAAATGTGGAGGGGGGGGGGGGTTATTTCTACTAGGGTGTTTTCCCTGCATCGCATAAAAATCCAACTTCTTTATTCCCCACTCTTTTCTAAATCTTTTTCTGAAATTTGGAAACGTTGTCTGTACTTTGATATAATTAATTGATTGCCGGCAGGAAATTTTATCCAAGTGGGAAAGAATTGCAAGTGAAACGCACACCGAAGTTGTTTACCTTTCCAGGCGGACATCCCCCTCCCAGTCCCCCCCCCTTGCAGCGTATTTTCCTGTTTAATCTTGGTGAGCAAAAACACGTTTTCTAGAATACTTATTATCAATGCAAAAAATTTTCCCATGGTAGGAAGTTTAGACAAAAAAAGTGATTTTTTTTATGGTTATGGTAATCAAGGATAATCAAGGCGGCCAAACTACCATGGCTTTCCCAAGGGGGAGGGGGGCGTGATAGTGCCCCCTGGACCAAAAAAACTCCAATCCTTGAAATCTAAATGTCCATGTTGTTCGTCTGCACTTTATCAATATCTTTTTTGAAATATTTACCAATATTAAATATTTTACACCTGTTATTTCTCTTATACAGAACAATCTCTTTTAAAATTACAAAATAGTTTGATTTATATCTTCAGTTCAGGCTTTTTAAGCTGGATTGTAAAAGTGAAATAAACGGAGAATTTATTGACATCTCTTTAGAGCAGTTATCCAGTCATTAGGAGTATGCAATTCACTTTAGAGCAGTTAAGCAGTGATTAGGAGTATGCAATTTAACAAAGCATGCATTGTAAAGAAAAAGAAAATTATGTTTTGATTATCTTTGAAATATTAATATAAATTAATAAGGTATTAAAAAGTTGTCTGTTTGATACTCAATAGGCTAGTAACAAATATGTGATCTAGATTATTATACATTTGAAGTTGAAAATTTCCAGAAAAAAAAATTATTAGATATCAATATAAGTTGTATAAATGTAAATATTGTTAAAATTATGATGCAAATTTTATTTACTTGATTAGATAAAACATGAAGTTTCCTGAATTGACTGGTGTTCTCCGAGAGACGTGGGCAGTGATGACTCTGTATATAGGTAAACAGAGATCAATATTAAACATTTCTACATGATTTTTACAGTTATAAACATTTGTATTATAGTAGTAAAGGAGATTATAACTAACGTAGGGGTTTTAATGAAACAGAAAATCTTTGCTTTTTATCACTTTAAGGACCCTGTTGAATTCATGAATTTGAGCTTTTGACTCTGAATTCTACCTATTGTCGACTCTGCTGTAGTTCTGCAGTGTAGTTATCATCTATAGGATATGGACATAAATCCTGTATCACCGATTCAAGATACATGGTTCAACTGCCTCTAGACCTGGCTAAAATTTGTTAAATTTAATCAATGTGCAGAAGTTTAACTATGTAGACATAAATTGAATAACTTCTCTTGTGCACTTGTTTAAGTTAAGAGGTGGTTCAACATAGATAACATAGTTCAACTACTTCTCACCAGTGCTTTCCCAAAGGCATTTTCTCAAGGGAACTTCCCAAGTGACAATTGCCCAAGTGGAAACTTCCAAAATGTACATTTTCCCAAATGACAATTTCCCAAGTTGCAACTTCCCCATGAAGGAAAAACGGCATTTTCCCAATGAAGGAAGTATTAAATGAACATTTAAGTTTTACATTTTTAAAGAATCTCTCAACTTTTTTTATAGAAAATATCCAACTTAAAAAAAATTTCATTAAGTTTCTCTCAGTAACAAGAAAGTGTTGATGGCCTACACCCTTTCCAGGGAGTCGAGCCGAGCGCTGCAGATTTACTTGTTTCAAAGAAAATAAAGTACATTATTTAAGGTTAGGTTAAGTGTCTGAGGCACCACAGGCTACAATGGGGGCCAAGCACTGCAGCTAGGATGGGCTAGGGGCCAAGAGCTGCAGCTAGGATTGGCTAGGGGACCTAGCGCTGCATCTAGGAAGGGATAGGGGGATGAGTGCTGCAGCTAGGATGGGCGAGGTGCCCAGCGCTTGTTTTTTAGAAAATATAGTTTATTATTAGGAAATTGTTACTTGGGAAAATGTACAATTGAGAAGTTGCCGCTTTTCCTTCATGGGGAAGTTGCCACTCGGGAAGTTGTCATTTGGGAAAATATACATTTGGGAAGTTGCTGTTTGGGAAATTGCACATTTGGGAAGTTGCCACTTGGGAAAATACCCTTGGGAAGTTGCCACTAGGGAAAAGGCCTAACATCACTGGAAACACAATATAGTAGAATTGTTCAACAAATTCCATTGTATTTAGGTGTTCTTGGTAATGGTCTAAGTATGGGATATTCAGCAATAGCTATACCGGACATTAAACAAGAGTTACTACATCATAGAGAAAATTCTACATCCTTCTTTGATCCAATTGAAACTTCAATTGAACAACTTTACTGGTTTGGTAATGCAATATTTTAATTAAAATACATCATGATCTGTTCTAAACTTTTTAAATTTATTCTAGCAAGCATCCTAAGTATTGGGCAGCTGTTTGGATCACTAGGTGGAGGATTATGTGCCTCAACATTTGGACCTAAAAGAACTATTCTCTTTGCTTCCATTCCTAACATTTGTGGATGGGTGACTATTGGATTTTCACAAAGTATCTACTCCTTAATTGCTGGGCGACTTATGGCAGGGTTTGGTTTGTCAATGTTGTCTGCTAATTGCAGTATGCTGGTCTCTCAATATAGCTCCATTTCAAGACGAGGAATATTTTTGTCTACTTATACCCTCATGGTCAGTTTAGGCATTTTAGTGATTTATGTAATCGGAGCAATTCTCAACTGGAGATTAGCTTGCATAGTACCAGTTTGTGTTCTTGTTCTTCATAGCTGTAACCTAGTATTTATTCCTGAATCTCCAGTTTGGTTACTGGGACATTCAGGTGTTAAGGAAGCAAGAGAAGCATTACAATGGCTGAGGGCAACGGATGATGTGGAGGTGGAATTAGACACTCTAAGAAAAGTTCAAGAAAAGCAGGAGAGCGCCCTATCTTTGTGCGATGCTTTGAAAAACTTTAGAAATCCTGATGTTTACAAACCAGTTTTAATTGTTGCATTTAACTTTGTTTTGATAAAACTGGCTGGACCTGTTGCAATAGCTTACTATGCAGTGGAAATATTTCAAACTACTGGCGTTGAAGTTGATAAATATTTGGCAGCAATTATTATGGGAGGTGTTAGGGTTTTAGGTAAAAATATTTTACATAGAGCTCTAGATGTTATTATTATTATTTACCCTTAGGCGGGGTGTGTGCAATTTTTCTTGTACACAAGCTTCCCAGAGTCAGACTGGCGTTAATAAGGTAATTGTTTATTGTCAAGTATGGGTTTCCAGCAGAATGAAAAAATCTCTAATTACTGATTTTTTTTGTGCTGAATTGCAAATCGTATGAGCTTGTTTCTGCAAAATTACGGAATTCTGCGCAAAAGTTTGCAGAATATACAAGCAAATTTTCGCAGATGTCAAGTTATAAGTTTAATGAATATTTTCAGTGTTGGTTGTATGGGAATATCCATGGGACTGTTAGGATTCTCTATGTATTGCCAGCATATTAGTTATGAGTTCCCAGGATTAAGAGTCATTCCTCTTATATCCTTAGTTCTTTACACCTTTAGTTTTGGTTCAGGTAAAAAATAAGGACATCTTTGTGCATCTAGAAATACCAATATTCTGATTTGCAAGATCTTCATTTTCTTTTTTAAAGATTATGCTATTGTCATTTAGCATATTTATAGGGCAGTTGTGCAATTGTGAAGTTACTGTTTTATTATCATACTATACTTCATAGGAAAATTTGCACACAGTGCAAAAAGGATTAGATGACAATTAATAAATAAGATATTTTTATTAATAATTATTCTGACCAAAACTCTTAAACAACTATTTAAGAAAAAACGTTGGCTTATAAATTTTTAATAATTTTCTCAATCCTTTAAATTAAAAATTTAAATCCAAATTTGAATCATGTTTTAGGCACTAAAGTTGCCCTGCTGTGCATTTTATATTAAACATCAAATATGTACCGCATGATATACTACTAAAATATCTTAAAAGGAAAATTAGTACTCCTTCTTTGTAAAGTTACCAATAACCATTCATGTTTTCATGTCTATTGGAAACAAACAAAAGACCCAAGCAACAATTAAAATGAAATATAAAATGGTTATATTTTGTAATCATGTTTAAGAATGTCCAATGTCCATTGTCCATATAATCTTAGAATGAATTATATCATGTAGGGGTTGGATCTCTTATGTGGGTTTGGGCTGGAGAACTCATACCTCCTGAATACAAAGTATTTGCTGGGCTAACAACAGCTATAGGTAAATTTTAATAGTTTTTGATGGGTAGTTCCCTATTCATCTTTTAAAGAAATAAAGGCAGTGAAACTCTAATTAGTAATTACTAATACTTTTTTCCATTAGCCTATGGAGCTATATTTGGTGTGACCCTGATATTTCCAACCATGATGGCTGTTCTATATCCTTATGGAACTTTCTGGTTTTTTTCCTGTATGTGTTTCCTGGCTTTTGGACTATATGCAACTGTAATGCCAGAGACTAAAGGATTGTCTATTCTACAGATCAGAGAATATTTCAGAAACTCTGGAACACCAAGTTAGAAGATTGGAGTTCTTGAAAAAATCCTTAAATTCAAAATGTTTTAAAAGACAAGAATATCTCTGATTGCCTGTATTTGACGTAAAAATAAATAAAAATATAAAGATTTAGTCATAATTTGCTTTCTCCAGGTTCTTAATAAGATGAGATATTATTTTTTATTATTTCAAAATTGCAAGAAAGGTTTGCAGAAAGAGTACCAACACAAACTTATTATTTCCAAAAAGATGGGCTAAAAGCACCCTCAAAACCTATATTCTTCTATGACAATTATGAAGATTGTTGGACACAAATTTACATATATTATAATTTCCACATAAAAATGTATATTTTTGCTAATATGTTTCACAACTGTTTTTAACTGTAAAGTGCATATTTGGCTTACAGTTATACATTTTAAATGTTAAGATTTTAAAGAGCGATAAAAATAATACTCAATTAAATAAGTTTAGAATATTAATTTTTAAAGAAACAGTTGTTTAAGAAAAAGGCAATTCTGCTAATGTTGAATAATCCAAAACGCATTATTTTCCATACTTTTAAAAATTAACATATCAACCTATGCACTGAACTGGGGCATGGAAATATTTTAAGAGAAAACAAACAATACAAGCAAAAAACAGTAATTAAAAAATAAAATGTAATATTCTTAAAAAAATAAAAAAATATCTTTTACATTGTTTGCCATTAAATTTTAACAACGAAGACACTCTCAAGATGCAGAAAATTCTTAGCTTCTCTAGCTGGAGAATTTAGGTTTTCTTATGCCTTTGGAGAAAAAAGCAGCCCTTCAGATTAAAAATACAATTTTTATGAATTTTTTTCCCAAGTGACAATTTCCCAAAAGACAACTTCCCAAATGTACAATTTCCCAAATGGCAACTTCCCAAAGGTTAGGTTAGGCCCTCTGAGGTGTTTAAGGCTGCAATTAAGGCCGAGTGCTGCAGCCAGGACAGAACAGGCTTTGGGCTGAGCACTGCGCCTAGGACAGACTTGGGAAGTTGTTGCTTGGAAAATTAAACATTGGGAAGTTGCCACTTAGGAAAAACACCCTCGGGAAGTTGACACTTGGAAAAAATCCTTTGGGAAACTTCAATGCTAATAATTGTTATATCATCACTTGTAATTTACATATTTATTGTTGTTCTTATGTATAGAGTTTGCTTTATATAAAGAACATGGAATTTTTTAAAGACAATGGAATATATTTAAATAAACAACACTATTCAATTCAGATAGCAAAAATAGTCTCTACTAGACAGTCATAGTATACTTTATGTATTTTGTATTAACTGACATTCAAAACATTTTTTAATAGTGATGAGGAGCAAATTGTCTTAGTTGAATCTTTGTTTCCCTTTCTACTTTACTGAAGTAAAAGTTTAAAAATTTTTTTTTCATAAAACTAAAAACAAACAGCAGCATAAATTTTTTTTTAGATTAGCAGGATTCACTGAAAATATTGCTTACCAAAAAACTAGCTTTTTAAATGATAATTGAAAGGTCCTGAATAAAAATTTTAGTTAACAAATTTTTTTTTTTTTAGGAAATCATCTCATCTAAAACATTCCATGATCGGAATTATTCTTTAAAAAGAAAGATATGCAGTCTTCAGAATGGACTGGCGCTCTCAGAGAAACCAGGGCAGTATTGGCACTGTATATAGGTAAGCCAATGAAGTTGCTCAACTCTACAACAATGAATCTTCTGATCTGGTCCCAAGATCATTTGTAGTCTGGCCTTAAAAAACTATGATCTGAGCTGAAAACTTTAGAATGAGATATCCTTAGTCCTGATTACTTAATCTGAGTATCCAATGGACACACTTTTGATTTTCTTCTTTTAAACCGTTCTTTCTTGGATATAGTAGAGAAAAATCAAAAACTGGTTTTACTAAATTAGAGAGTCCCTCCCGTTTCATTAAAATCTTAAATGGCGCGCAAAATTTCAAATTTACCGGCTTCATATATGGGACTCTGATTGGTTGAATTTTACACACTTTTTAGGAAACAAGTACAATATTAGGTTAGTCTCGATATTAAGAAAAAGAGAGGATCAAGCGTTAATCTTGATATTCACCATTCTAAAGTTTTCAGCTCTGATCACACACAAGTAACACAAAAAATTGCAGTTATACTACAGAAAGGAATTACTTAAGAGTTTTTTTAAGTTACCTTACTTATTAAAATAAAGTTTATAAGATGGACATAATATCTAGATAGTGAAGTTTTTTGTTCAGGTGTTCTAGCAAATGGCATGAGTATGGGATTTTCAGCAATAGCTATACCTGACATTAAACAGGAGATAATGTTTAAAGAAAACTCAACATCATTGTTTGATCCAATTGAAACTTCCATTGAAGAACTTCATTGGTTTGGTAAGGCTTTTTGTTTTGATACATACATTTGGGTCAATTTCTTCAAGTGTTTTATTATAATTGCTATTAATGTTTCTTAAGTAATGTTAATTAAAACAACTTTTAGAAAAAACTTTGTCACATGTATGCTGAAGAAAATAGAAAAGTCACTGGTAAAATTTTGTTTCTTTTAAAACATGTTCTCTTCAGAAGGCTCATTAAAGCCCTGTATGTTTTCAATTGCCTAAAAACAAAATAAAATATTTTGCTCAATTGATTTTGTATTTACTTTTGATTTAGTCCACATCTTTTTTGAAAATAGAAACTTTGACTTTTCCTAAAATAAAATAATCTGTCTAATACTCAATTGATTTATTTTAGCTAGCATCCTGAATATTGGACAGCTGGTTGGGTCAATCTGTGGAGGAGTAAGTGCATCAGCATTTGGTCCAAAAAGAACTATTCTCTTTGCTGCAATCCCAAATATATGTGGATGGGTGACTATAGGATTTTCACAAAGTATCTACTTCCTAATTGCTGGAAGGCTTATAACTGGGTTTGGTCTATCCGTGTTGTCTGCTAATTGCAGTATGCTGGTCTCTCAATACAGCTCTATTTCTAGACGAGGAATATTTTTATCCACATACACCCTTATAGTCAGTTCAGGCATTTTAGTGATGTATATACTAGGATCTGGTCTCAACTGGAGATTTGTCTGTATTGTACCTGTTAGCATTCTCATACTACAAAGTTGTAACCTAGTATTTATTCCTGAATCTCCAGTTTGGTTACTGGGACACTCAGGTGTTAAGGAAGCTAGAGAAGCATTACAGTGGCTGAGGGCAACGGATGATGTGGAGGTGGAGCTAGATAATCTCAGAAAAGTTCAAGAGAAGCAGGAGAGCGCTTTATCTTTATGTGATGCATTAAAAAACTTCACGCATCCCGATGTTTACAAACCAGTTTTGATTGTTACATTCAACTTTGTTCTGATCATTCTTGCTGGACCTGTTGCAATTGTGTTCTATGCAGTGGAAATTTTTCAAACTACTGGCGTTGAAATTGACAAATATTTAGCAGCAATTATCATGGGAGCTGTGCGAGTTCTAGGTATGAAGATTTTTTATCATGATTTGAAAATGTTCAGAAGATTTTCAATAAATCTATTTAAGGAGGCATATGTGCAATTTTTCTAGTTCACAGGCTTCCACGAGTAAGATTAGCCATGATTAGGTATAAACTCCTCTTAAAAACTCTTAAGGAAAATAATTGTGATAGGTACTTATCAACTTCTTTCAGTGTTGGTTGTATGGGAATATCTATGGGACTGTTAGGCTTTTCCATGTATTGTCAAGATGTTGATTATGAGTTTCCTGGATTAAGAATTATACCTCTTATATCTATAATTCTGTACACATTGAGTTATGGTTCAGGTATTATTATCCAGAAGTCTGTCAGAACTTTTGTACTGTGAATCTCAGGATTAAGCATTGATCTACATCTTGTGCTGACTAGCAAATTAATTTAATTCCTCTTTGATATCGAGATCAATCATTTAGGATTAAAGATATTCCACACAAATGTTTTGACCTCAGTTAGTTTTAAATTGTTGAAATAGGAAACATAGAATACACTTTTATTCTCTAATGTTAATTTATCAATCAATGTCTATTAACATCCCATATCTCTGTTAACTCTTTTAATTGGTTTCATTTAAACCAGCATTTTCCTTTGTCTAATTTTTTCATCAAACCTAGAAATTGAAAAAGTAGACAAAAATAATTGAAATCTTTAAGACTTATGACTTATAATCTTTATTCTATTGTAATTATCAGTGAAGATGAAAGAAAAATGGATTTTTTAACAGTATTTTAGCTTGCAAAACTAATTAAAAAAAAAACTAATTGACAGTTACGAACTGTTAAAAAAAAACAAATAAAAATACTATATGTAAGTTTTATTGACAAAATATCTTTTTTTAGTTTCCTTTAAATTCTGTCTGCGAAATATCGCATTATGCCAATAGGGCTACTGTTGATAAAGCTATACAAATAGTTCTGAATAGTTTAAAAAAGAGAAAAACTTGGAACAGATGATTAATCCGACTTGAAACCAGTATTACCATTTTTATGTTAGGAGTTGGATCTCTGATGTGGGTTTGGGCTGGAGAACTCATACCTCCGGAGTACAAAGTATTTGCTGGGATAGCTGCTTCAATTGGTAAATATTTTGGATGACATTTCGGTGCTCTGTTTTTTTTTTAGTGATAAGGATCCATTTCATTTTGATGAGGAAATGAATCCGGATCCTGGATCCTGGATCCTGGATCCTGGATCCTGGATCTGTCATGTTTAATAAGGATGTGGATTTTAATCCAACTCAGGATTAGTTTTTATGCTTAGAATTTAACAATTAAAATTTTTTGTTTGTTGCATTTTATCATGCATGCTGAAATTATTATTATGAAATATTTCAGTAGTTGACACTGAAGATGTGTGTGTTTGAAAGCAAAATATTATTGTTTGGTTTGATTCAGATCAGTGGAAACGCATATTTGGGGATCTGGATCTGAATCAGGGGATTCAGATCCGGATCCAGATCCTTAGCCCTGCTATAAATTATTCAGGATGTTTCTTAAACTCAGAGAGAAAAAGTAAAAAAAAATATTTGATTTTTTAAACATTCTTAATAAGATAGCACAGCAACTTCAAGTTAGTGAATCAATTTATTCTTTTTTTAAGCTACTGGTGCTATTTTTGGTGTGACTCTGATATTTCCAACTTTAATGACTGTTCTACGCCCGCACGGAACTTTCTGGTTGTTCTCCGGCATGTGTTTCTTAGCTTGTGGACTCTACGCAACTATTATGCCTGAAACTAAAGGGCTGTCTATTCTCCAAATCAGGGAGCTTTTCAGAAACTTGGAGAAATCAAAACCTTAAATCAAAATTTTCAACAAAAACTTAAATACCTGTATTTATCATATTTAATTTTGTTGATAAATTTTGTATATTAATATTTAATTATAAACTGATGTCATAGGTCAAGTTCTTTTGACATTAGAATGCATACATGGACGAATTTAAATCATTTCATATTATGAAGAATTTAGACTGGATGCAATTAACATAACATTTATTAAGTTGATTTCCATATTATCTCTATTAATTAATGATTTGTCTAGCTGGTGTATTGATTCCTGCAGATATTGACAATGTTATATAGAGCTAATCTGACATACCAGAACAACATTAAGATAGATCAACATACAACATATATTACACATTTATATTTATCTAAGAAAAGGGGGATTAAGCTAATGACGTAATTCGAATATCAATATTATTCTTACTGTACTGATGATTCCTTCGAAACAAAAATAGCTCTGTAAAGATATTATTTAGTAACCCATAACCGAAATAAAATACCTAGATCAAATTTCGAAATATTGTAGGTGACCAACCGCTTCATTCTTAATTCCAACCAGCAATGAAGTTTTGTGAATTTCTCAAAAAGTTTCACAAATATTCCTGAAAAAATTGCTCTGCCTTATGATCGTTCTACCTTATGATTGTTCTACCTTATGATTGTTTTACCTCATGATCGTTCTACCTTATGATCGTTCTACCTTATGATCGTTCTACCTTATGATCGTTTTACCTGATGATTGTTCTACCTTATGATCGTTCTACCTTATGATAGTTCTACCTTATGATCGTTCTACCTTATGACCGTTCTACCTTATGATAGTTCTACCTTATGATCGTTCTACCTTATGATCGTTCTACCTTATGATCGTTCTGCCTCTTGTCATTCATACCTTTTGTACTAGAGCCCCTATTTCAGAATCTAATCATTAATTCCTATCTCAAAATTATTATTGTATTGAAAGAATAGATTATAATTCCTTCTTCTAAACTAGCTAAAGATAAAAGCTAATTTTAGTTTTAAAATGTACATGTCTGGGTCTACAAAAAAGTATAGTTGGTGGAAGGTTGAACCAAACCAGATTAGAAATAAACGACGGGGACCACTTCTTCAGTAAATATATTTCGACATTTCCTTGATGTCCTCATCAGTACTATAGGTTGGGGAGACACTGGTCAAAAAGGTATATGTAATTTATTAAGGTCAAGGCTTTGCGACACTTATAAAGTCGACCCGGTCATAAAAATTGGTAATACTTTTCATAAATGTTACTTGCCACATACTCTAATTTTTTATCCCTTTATCTTTGAAACTTTAATATTTGTGTACGTGGTAAATGAACGGGTAACTGGTCCTTACCACAAACTATTCCAATTCCTACATCTTAGCAACCTGAATTCACAGTTTGAAACATTTAATATCTACTTCATTTGGTTGCAAAGATATTGGAATTAGAAAATCAGAGTTTGTGGCAAAGACTCAATTCCTTTATAATATTAAAAAATAGAGAAAGCGACTTTAAACTGTTGAACAAAGTATAATAATCCTGAACATGACAAACAAACCCTTATCCAGCCAGACAACCCCACACTATCTAAATATATTGGTTGAGTTCTAGAATAAGAACTAAAAGTTTGTAAACCTGCAGAATAAAAAGGGTTAGATAATAGATAACTTTTCATTATTTCAGGAATATGATCTAGCCTTCTTTTCACTGTAGACTGTAGACTGTAGACTGTAGACTGGTATACTATGTGGACTGCAGACTGTAAACTGTAGACTGTAGACTGTAGACTGTAGACTGTAGATTGTAGACTGTAGACTGTAGACTGTAGACTGTAGACTGTAGACTTTAGACTGTAGACTGTAGACTGTTGACTGTAGATTGTAGACTTTAGACTGTAGACTGTAGACTGTAGACTAAAAACTTTCATGCATCTATAGCAAGAAAAACTTGATATCTAATTTATTAAATATCTTTTTGTGCGTCTTTCGTTAAAGAAAACTGTATATTAAGTTTATATTTGTAATGCCAGCAATATCAGTCCATTCAATAATTTTGAAATGTCAGAAACAAATATTTTTATTCCAAACAGCAAATATAGAAATCATTAATTCACAAGATTTATTGAAAAGAAAGAAAGGAATATGATATTGCAGATCAATGAAAAATTCATTCATTGAAATACTTTGCCAGAAAGGTTGTATTCAGGATTTAAGGGATGGAGGGGGAGGTGGCTCAACCCCCCCCCCACTACCTTTGAATATATTGAGATTAAATGCATGGTAAACTAGAACTTAAGCAGCATAAATACAAACTATAGAATAAACCACAGAATGTCAAGGAACCAAGAACATCTAATACTGCTTTGTCTGTTCTACATCTAGTCTTTAATACATCTTTATATGCATCAAGGAACCAAGAAAATCTAATACTGCTTTGCATGTTCTATATCTAGTCTTTGATACATCCTGATATGCATGAAAGAGCCAAGAACATATAGTATTGCTCAGTCTGTTCTATATCTTGTCTATGATACATCCTGGCATGCATCAGGGAACCTAGAACATATAATACTGCTTTGTCTGTTTTATATCTTGTCTATGATACATCCTGATATGCATCAAGGAACCTAGAACATATAAGACTGCCCAGTCTGTTCTATATCTAGTCTATGATACATACTAGTATGCTTTAAGGAACCTAGAACATATAATACTGCTTTGTCTGTTCTATATCTTGTATATGATACACACTGATATGCATCAAGGAAACTAGAACATCTAATACTGCTCTGTCTGTTCTAGATCTTGTCTATGATACATACTGGTATGCATTTAGTAAACTAGAACATCTAATACACTCTGTGTTTCTGATATTTAGTCTATGATACATTCTAATGTGCATCAAGGAATTTAGAGCATCTAGTTCTGCTCTGTCTGTCCTATATCGAGTCTATGATACATCCTATTATGCATCAAGGAACGTAAAACATATAATACACCCTGCTCTGCATCAAAGATCCTAAAAATGCACCTTGTCCGTCCTAGATTTCGTCTATGATTTACCCTGCTATGCAACGAGGAACCCGGAGCAACCAATTATTAAGTTTGAATCCTGAAGAGAAAACTAAATAAACAAGAAAACAAATTAAATATTCATTACCAGGTTACAAGGATACATAGTTCATTATAACAACAAGGATACATAGTTCACCATATTAACAATGATACATAGTTCACCATATCAACAAGGATACATAGTTCACCATATCAACAAGGATACATAGTTCACCATATCAACAAGGATACACAGTTCACCATATCAACAAGGATACATAGTTTACCATATCAACAAGGATACATAGTTCACCATATCAACAAGGATAAATAGTTCATCATATCAACAAGGATACATAGTTCACCATATCAACAAGGATACATAGTGTACCATATCAACAAGGATACACAGTTCACAATATCAACAAGAATACATAGTTCACAATATCAACAGGGATACATAGTTCACCATATCAACAAGGATGCATAGTTTATCTTATCAACAGGGATACATAGTTCACCATATCAACAAGGATACATAGTTCACCTTATCTTATTTAATTGTAAACTGTAATTCAGTATCTTTTTAAAAAAAGAGCATTGTTTATGTCATATTATTTCAAAGCTTTAAATACCCCTCTTTAAAGAAGCCGCCCGCCACTTCCCCCGATTTACGTAAAAGTTCGTTGATTAGATCGATCCCCCACAACCACTTTATACACATACATCTAAACAGTTTGTTTTTAATCTTTCTGACAGAAACAATCTCTAGGAATAATATTTGTCTTAAAACATTTTTAAAAAGTGAATATTTGTAAATGATCTTTTTTGCATCTCATGATCTGAGTTCGTTTCTCTTTTGTCCATTTGACAGCTCATCAATTTTCTTTTTTAAATAATCTTTTTTGGTTTGTTTATTTTTTTGTGGTTTAAAAAAAATTTTTATCGACGAGGGTCGATCCAGACCGGAATATATTTTCAAATAAATGTGGAACTAACATCTAAATTTTTTACTCTTCAGAGGTTTGGTCCATCACCGTCACCGAAATTTAAAGGATACAGGTTCACCATATAATCAAGGATACATAGTTTACCATAAACGATGCTATGGAAACTAATGTTGAGGAAACCGATCTAAAAAGTATCCAAACTAACAATTGAGTAGTTTGAAAGAAAATGTAGATTACCCGCGTGTTTTTACGGATCTAAATCGACTCCCTATCAGAACCACGTCTAGTTCTCATTCAACTCCACCTACTTGTCTTAACCTAACCTAACCTAACCTAAGCTATTTTAAGATCTAACTAAATGTTTATGAAAAAGACGGCTTAGATAAGTTTCCTCAGGGTGTCCCACGAAACATGACATTCAATAAATAGTTATTTTTAGTGAAACAAATCTTTTCCTTCGTTATATTTTACTTTAAAATCAATTTTTATACAACATGACTCCCATATAATATTTTTCTTGATCTTTGGTATCAAACAACTGAACAAATAATGGAAAAAGACATTCTGAACTATTCACCAACTGCCATGTTTCGTGGAACACCCTGTAGTTTACCAAAGTAACAATTGGGACTTGAAATAAAATTGCCAATGGAACTGATAACTTGTCTTATAATCATATTTGCTAATCCTTTTACTGCGATATGTTTCCTAGAAAAGAAACATATAGAAACATCTCTAAATAAAGGTTGTTAAATCAATCACTCAAATTAAAAAAGAAGCGAACTAAAATGATCTTTGAAAAAGATAATTTGCGAATATTCACATTTTAAAAATAATTATTGTTCCTTTAGATTTGTTCCTGCCATCAAGATTTAAAACAAACTGTAAATTGAAACATGTAAATTTAGAGAGTAGAGTTTAAATTGAAAGGATTACACAGATTTGAAAGTTTTGTTCTCTTCCAAACTTGAAAAGGTTTAGAGATACTATATAAGATAAAGTTAGAGGGCAACTATATATATATAAAGTAGTAATCTCTGTTTGTTTATTCGTATGTCCGATTAAAACTCAGGACCCCTTTGCCGATTCGCCTCAAATTTTGACTGTGAAACTCGGGAGAACCACGGGAATGTTCTTAGCTGGGTTGGGAAAGTCTAAGTTAAGTGGGTCGACTTTTAAAGATAAAAATAGCTAAAATCGTAGTTTAAGACCAAGCTCGGGTAAACGGTGGGAGTAACTGTGAGTACCCTGGGCAACGCTGGGTTCCTAAGCTGGTATTCTATTAACATAAAGTAGAACTCTGTTTTTTTTGTGTGTCCGATCAAAACTCGGAAACCCCTAGACAAATTTGCCTCAAATTTGATTGGGAAAGTCAATAGAAGTCAATAGAAGTCATTAGAAGTCAATAGATGTCAATAGAAGTCAATGGGAGTCAATAGAAGTCAATGGAAGTCAATAGAAGTCAATAGAAGTCAATAGAAGTCAAAAGAACCACAGGAATGTTTTTATTCTCATTTAGAAATTTTACGTTGAGTTTTTTGGCAAAGCTTGTTTTCCAGGCACAGTTGGCTTTCCACGATATTCCAATGCAGAAAGCTTCTAACACGTTAATGTGTGTGTATGGAACCCCCTATAATGCACGTAATCACAAAATCCATAATTATAAATAAATTATCGCACATAAGTTGAATTCCAATTCCATTTTTTACATCTCACCCCATGCATTCATTTCAATTCTAAACAATTCATTTTTGATATTTATAGTTGGAGAATTCTTATTGTTTATAAATGGGGAGAGAGGAGAGTATTTATGAATACTCTTCTATTTCCTGAACTGTAAAAGAAAGTGTTTTTATATGGTTCCTTATCAGTGTTAGGGAAATAGAGTTTAGCTTAAAGTACACAAATGTTTATTTATGAAAATTTATCACAGACATTATCTCCCCCCTTTCATAAATAATCTTAAAGGGTTAGTTTGCTATAAAACAAATTAGCTAATTTCTTAAAGGGACTGTAATCGCACTTTCAAGTGACCCTCATTAAGAGTCACATGCTTTATTCCTAGACTTGGTTCAATGGATCCTAGACTTGGTTCAGTGGTTCCTAGACCTGGTTCAATGGATCCTAGACTTGGTTTAATGGATCCTAGACTTGGTTCAATGGATCCTAGACTTGGTTAAATGGATCCTAGACTTGGTTCAATGGATCCTAGAATTGGTTCAGTGGTTCCTAGACTTTGTTCATTGGATCCTAGACTTGGTTCAATGGATCCTAGACCTGGTTCAATGGATCTTAGACTTGGTTCAATGGATCCTAGACTTGGTTCAATGGATCCTAGACCTGGTTCAATGGATCCTAGAATTGGTTCAGTGGTTCCTAGACTTGGTTCATTGGATCCTAGACCTGGTTCAATGGATTCTAGAATTGGTTCAATGGATCTTAGACTTGGTTCAGTGGATCCTAGACTTGGTTCAATGGATCCTAGACCTGGTTCAATGGATCCTAGAATTGGTTCAATGGATCTTAGACTTGGTTCAGTGGATCCAAGACTTGGTTCAATGGATTCTATACTTGGTTCAATGGATCCTAGACTTGGTTGAATGGATCCTAGACTTGGTTCAATGGATCCTAGACTTGGTTCATTGGATCCTAGTCTCGGTTCAATGGATCCTAGACCTGGTTCAATGGATCATATACGTGGTTCAATGGATCCTAGACTTGTTTCATTGGATCATAGACTTGGTTCAATTGATCCTAGACCTGTTTTGATTGATCCTAGACTTGTTTTAATGGATCCTAGACCTGGTTTAATGGATCCTAGACTTTATTCAATAGTTCCTAAACTTGGTTCAATGGATCCTATTAAACAGATGCGTACGAGGGCTTTTGCTTAGGGGGGGGGGGCACAATATATTAATACCTTTTTTAAATTTTTTTGGCNATCTTAGACTTGGTTCAATCGATCCTGGACCTTGTTCCATGGATCCTATACGTGGTTCAATGGATCCTAGACCTGGTTCAATGGATCCTAGACCTAGTTCCATGGATCCTATACGTGGTTCATTGGATCTTAGACCTGTTTCAATGGATCCTAGACTTGGTTCAATATATCCTAACGTGGTTCAATGTATCCTAGACGTGGTTCATTGGATCCTAGACCTGGTTCAATCGATCCTTTACGTGGTTTAATGGATCCTAGACTTGTTTCAATGGAGCCTAGATCTGGTTCAATGGATCCTAGAATTGGTTCAATGGATTCAAGACTTGGTTCAAAGGATCCTAGACTTGGTTCAATGGATCCTAGACTTGTTTCAATGGTTCCTAGGATTGGTTCAATGGATCCTAGACCTTGTTCAATGGATCCTAGAATTAGTTCAATTTAGCCTAGACCTGGTTCCATGGATCCTATACGTGGTTCAATGGATCCTACACGTGGTTCAATAGATCCTAGACTTGGTTCAAAGGATCCTAGACTTGCTTCAATGGTTTCTAGGATTGGTTTATTGGATCCTAGACCTGGTTCAATGGATCCTAGAATTAGTTTAATGGATCCTAGACTTTATTCAATGGATCCTAGACCTGGTTCCATGGATCCTGTACGTGGTTCAATGAATCCTATACGTGGTTCAATGGATTCTAGACCTGGTTCCATGGATCCTAGACCTGGTTCGATATGGATCCTATACGTGGTTCAATGGATCCTAGACTTGGTTCAAAGGATTTTAGACTTGTTTCAATGGTTCCTAGGATTGATGCAATGGATCCTAGACTTGGTTCAAAGGATCCTAGACTTGGTTAAATGGATCCTAGACCTGGTTCAATGGATTCTAGACCTGGTTCAATAGATCCTAGTCCTGATTTAATGGATACTATACATGGTTCAATGGATCCTAAACTTGGTTCAATGGAAATTTTACGTCTACATTAGAATTTTTTCATATATCTTCCCGGTTTAATAATTGCATAATTCATAAATATGCAATTTATACAAAAACAAAAATAATGCAACTACAAAGCTAAAATCCTGAAGATGTTTTAATTTAGTTGATAATCAGAATTTGCCAAATAATTGATAAATGAAAGATTTTATTTTGTAATTAACTGGCTACAGGAAATGTGGATTTTTTGTTTAGAAAAAATCCAGTTTCATAAAAATGAAATATGTTGCCCAAATGCGCATTCACATAGTTTTGTGATGCAGCTTTTTAGATAAAAATGTTTTAAAAAAGAAAATGGAAATAAGCCGTGTAACAATAAATGTATAATATGAAATCTTCATTTATTTTTTAGAACATGTCCGGCTTTATTTAATTTATTCATGAGAGTTCTTGAATGCATCCCTAGTCTATTGTTTATCAACAAAGGTGAATTTAAATTATAAACGAGTATTTACATATATCTTAATATAAGAAATAGTTTCTATATAATTGAAATATGTTTTAAGTTTACTTTTCTTCAACTGCCAGCTTAGGAGTTACAAGGACTGTTTTATGCTCAAAGAGAGAAGCTGAAAGAACCTAGTCGACTTATAAAGAGTTCCATGACCGATTCCCAACAGTACCCTTCAAACCTAAAGTTGGGGAAAATTCATATTTTCCTATTTATGCAACAAAGCCAAAAGGAAATTATTAAAACACGACACATGCTTCAAAATAAAAAATATGTATCTTCCTCATTCATGGCTCTAACGCAGCGTCCAACAATTCTGTAACTTGGGCTGCACTTGAACAGTCGCTTTTTTAACACTTATTGTTTATTTTTACTTCTTAGAAATAGACATTTACACATCTTAAAGGGACTGTAAGTGCAATTTCAAGTGACCCTTCATGTTAAGATGTCAATGCCCGATTCACAACTGCAGTACTTTTTCTGATCAATAATGTGAAAGATATTGTTGTTTCTCTAGGTTTAAAACAGTTTAATTCTATTTTTCTGATCAATAATGTGAAAGATATTGTTGTTTCTCTAGGTTTAAAATAGTTTAATTATATATATACAATGCACAGGTCATTTTTGTTTCGGAACCTCAATTTAAAAAAAATCAGTTTTCAAAATTATAAACATTACTATCTTATTCATACTTGATGCGACAAAGCTTTTAATGGTACCGCTGTGAATCGGGCATTGCCATCTGTGCATGGAGGATCACTAGAAATTATGCTTACAGTCCCTTTATTATGATAGATCTTATTTAGATCTGATTACCTCAGTATTATAATAAGTGCCTTATTTTTAAAACATTTTTGTCACTTTTCAGTACCTAAAACCATTTAAAGTTAGTCTGTATTAAAATTCGGACATGATCATGAGTTCTTTATCTTGTATATAAATCTATGTTATCTGTATCCTAACTACGTTCGTTAATTTCTGAGAAAACCTATCACATATTAATCCTCGTGTAGAGAGCATAGAGTCCGCTAAAGTTGTATCTGTACGATACATACTAAAGAAATACAGAGAATGTTGTATCAGGATTGATACAGACTAAGGTATTATTGTAGAACATTGAGTTCTAGTGCGAGTTGTATCTCGATTGACAGATACTGACGAATACAGAGTTTGTATCTGGATTGATAGATACTGACGAATACAGAGGTTGTATCTGGATAGATAGATACTGACGAATACAGAGGTTGTATCTGGATTGATAGATACTGACGAATACAGAGGTTGTATCTGGATTGATAGATACTGACAAATACAGAGGTTGTATCTGGATTGATAGATAATGACGAATACAGAGGTTGTATCTGGATTCATAGATACTGACGAATACAGAGGTTGTATCTCGATTGATAGATACTGACGAATACAGAGGTTGTATCTGGATTGATAGGTACTGACGAATACAGAGGTTGTATCTCCATTGATAGATACTGACGAATACAGAGGTTGTATCTGGATTGATAGATACTGACGAATACAGAGGTTGTATCTCGAATGATAGATACTGACGAATACAGAGGTTGTATCTGGATTGATAGATACTGACGAATACAGAGGTTGTATCTGGATTGATAGATACTGACGAATACAGATATTGTATCTGTATTGATAGATACTGACGAATACAGATATTGTATCTGGATTGATAGATACTGACGAATACAGATAATGTATCTATGTTGAATAATACTGACAGTTACTGAGCTTGTGTCTGGATTGAATAATACTGACAGATACGGAGCTTGTGTCTGGATTGAATAATACTGACAGTTACTGAGCTTGTATCTGGATTGAATAATACCGATAGATATAAAGCTTGTATCTGGATTGTATAATACCGACAGATACATGCAGCTTTATTGAATGTCGTCTTACAAGAAGTTAAACAGTTGTGAACATCGAGATATTAGTATTAGAGGGGGCATCTGGAATTTTAGACTTCTTGTTGTACAGCCCCTGTACACAATGACCCGATCAGAAATTCTACCTGGGGGATCATAATTCGTAGATCATTATTCAGTTTTGAAAGTTATTGTTTGAAAGTGAAAGCAAAGAAAACAAGTCCATATGATTTTTGTATAAAAATGAGACATGACAAATAGAGAAAAAAATAAAATCCTTCACAATTTTTGACACTACAATATCTCATTGTTGAAAAATATTAAAATTAACTGTCCACTCAATACCGTACAAATAGATGTACTTAGGATTAAACCCACTGTACTCTATGATACCAACTCAGTCATAAGGAAACATTTTTCGACAAATTTCAGGGAACAGGAATAAAGGGAAAGGAAATGGCGCTGGTCCGGCAAGAGAAAGCCAGTCGCACTGCTTTGCAGACCAGTACAGTAAACTGACACACACTTTTCTGGTACAGACACACAACATGACTACAGTCAAGGAAATTGTAGAACAATGTCGTCGATTATAATTAAATTTGAATAACGAGTAGTTTATTGTAAACTTTAATAAAATTATATTCTTTGCATGGAAATATGGCTTTATAGTGTTGACTTAAATATGTAAATAATATATTACATGTATATTAAACAATTGTTTAAGTAAACAATTAACAATAAACAAATGTATTCTCCTAGACTGTACAAATCCCGAGACTCTTACGTACTGTATAAACCTACAGTACAAACCTTTGGTACAGTAAACTGACACACACTCTTTTGGTACAGCCACACACACATGACGTTTCCGCCCCCTGAGCCCAAAACTTAAGACAGGGTATCATTATGAAAACCAATTTTGGAACCCGGGTTTCATGAATGGGGTTAGGCAGTTTTGTGGATATCAATATTTTTGTTATGAAATATTATTTTATTTAGTTTCTTCATATTTTCCAGTTTTTAGAACCTCTTTATTCAAAATCTAGCCAGGCAAAATTAGGAGAGTTTTGCCCGCCCCCTGGTTGTAAAGGATCTAAAACTTTTTGATATTTTCTTAAAAACTACTCAATGATAAGTACAGATGCCCTTAAGGTCGGTTTCCTCTTTTCGTTAACGATGGGTTGTCGTTAACGATCGTTAACAAAGGTTCGTCGTTAACGATCTTCAACAAAAATTCGTCGTTAACCATCATTAACGAAGGGTTGTCGTTAACGATTGTTAACGAAACGACGAGTTTTATAGAAACTATCGTTTTGTTTTCGATTTTTCGTCGTCGTTTTCATAACGAAACGATCATTAAAAAAAATGAAAACGTTACAAGTTTTATATTTTTTTAAACATTCATTAGACAATAACTATAAAAGATCCATGCTTTCAGGCAGTTTCCTGTCTCAGCATATAACTGCTGCTGGAACACATGCATAATAAATCCCTTAAGAACTATATGCATTATGAATTCAGCGGTTTCAAGAGAGATCAGGTCAATTTTTACCCTATATGCCGGTAAGCAGATTTGTTTTGAACATTAAATTGGAAGAAAACTGAATCATTGTTTTTTACATCTTTAGTTTTATATATCAGGTGTCCTTGGTAATGGGATGAGTATGGGATATTCAGCAATAGCTATACCTGATATAAAGCAGGAGTTACTACATCATGGCGCAAACTCCACCTCTCTGTTTGATCCAATTGAAACATCGTCAGAGCAGCTTAATTGGTTTGGTAATATTTTAATACCCATTTTTATTTGTTGCATACTTGGGAAGAGATCTTTGCTTTTCTTTCTGAATATGTTTTAAATTAAAATGAAAGTTTAAAGTGTAACGCCCTGTGTCTCTTTAAATGCATTGTTATATTGAAATGATGTCAAAAGTCCATTTAAAAGGAAAAAATTACATAGAGAGAACAATCACTTGAATGACATTATTTTGTACCTTCCACAGACATTTACACGGATAATGCTCTCTAAGCTTTTTCAGTGAAAAAAAAAATCTTATAAATTTGTCTGTTGACAAAGTGCTCCATGGTCAGTTTCTTTTTTTATAGATCAACATCAAATTATTAATAAAATACTAATTAAGCAAGCTCTGTGAATATTGGCCAGCTTTTTGGTGCCTTGATTGGAGGTTTCTTTGCCAGTGCATTCGGACCTAGGAAAGCCATTCTGATTGCTACAGTCCCAAACATCATTGGATGGTTGACGATAGCTTTCTCTCCCAGCATATACTTCTTGATAATTGGAAGGATTATGGTTGGTGTAGGGTCCTGCATGTTATCTGCTAATTGCAGTATGCTGGTTTCCCAGTTTAGTTCAACTTCAAGACGAGGTATATTTCTATCTCTATTCACCCTGATGGTAAGCTCAGGTGTTCTACTCGTCTACATGTTTGGAGCTGTTCTAAACTGGAGAATAGTTCCAGTAGTCCCAGTTTCAATCCTTCTTTTTCATAGTTGCAACCTAGTATTTATTCCTGAATCTCCAGTTTGGTTACTGGGACACTCAGGTGTTAAGGAAGCTAGAGAAGCATTACAGTGGCTGAGGGGAACTGATGATGTGGAGGTGGAGTTAGATAATCTCAGAAAAGTTCAAGAGAAGCAGGAGAGCGCTTTATCTTTATGTGAAGCATTTCAAAACTTCACACATCCCGATGTTTACAAACCAGTTTTACTTGTGGTGACTAACTTTATTCTGACGATGATGGCTGGACCTTTCGCTATTGTTTTCTACGCAGTGGAAATATTTCAAGCTACTGGAGTTCAAGTTGATAAATACATTGCAACAATCATCATGGGATTCATCAGAGTCTTAGGTGAGTAAAGCAGGACTTATTTACCTAACCAGCATTAAAAAAAATTTACTCAAAATTATTTTTAAAAATAACCTTTAATTTTTTTTTTGATTAAAGTCATCAAACCCTCTAGTTGAAATGGATTTACAAAACTATGCTAAAAAAGGCATTTACTATGCAAAAAATTTCAAAAAAGACAAAACCAACCTTCAAATGTTATCAAGACCATGCTTGTTTTATGTTTTATGCAAGTGTGCATTCTTATCAAATCAGAGCTAGGAAATTTTATTTGATATCCATGTTGATAGTGTTGTCTGTGGGACAAAAAACAGCCAATCAGAAACCAATTAACATTGCAGTCCACCAATGAGAATACAAAGAATTTCTGATATCCAAGATAAAAAGATAAAGCAATTTCTGCATAAAATTTAAAAGTGCCCATTGTGAATATCAAGATTAGGCATTTGGGATTGTGGATATCCAACATAAAAGTTCCCAGCTAAGCTAAGATTATATTAGCCCTTTAATTAATCTAATTTGCAGGTGGAGTATTTGCCATTTTTTTTATCCATAAAGTTCCAAGAGTGATGTTAGCTGCAGTAAGGTAGAAGAGTCTTTTACTTGAAATCTATAGTATTCAACCTATTCTGAAGTATCTGCTCATTTAGTTTGATTTTAGAGACATCTTTGAGCCGTTTGTTAATTTTGATATTTTGTATCATCAAATGACTAATAACCACTTTACTATCTTCTATGCAGTACTGCTGTTATGGGTTTCTCCATGGGACTACTGGGCTTTGCTATGTTCTGCCAGCATGTTAAATATGAATTCCCCGGACTGACAATAATACCACTTGTGGCAATTATTCTTTATACATTTGGGTTTGGTGCAGGTAGGACTTTTGTTTACAAATAGGATTTTTTGGTAAAAGTGGAGGTTTAATTTTTTAAGGTTTGTAACTTTTGAATATATCGTATTTAGTATATCAAGCTTTTCTCAATACTTGAAACAAAAGTAATTGATTTAAAAACCTTTATCTTACCTATAGCTAGGTATAACCCTTTGAAGTTACAATCTTTGATCCAACAGAACTAATAGTTTGAAATATCTAAGGTCTGCGACATTGGGAAGAAAAGATATATGGATTAGAAAAAGGTTCTTTGATAAATGATATTATGTTGTTTTTATGGATTCTCTTTCTTCAGGTTCTGGACCTCTTCAGTGGGTTTGGATGGGTGAGCTTATTCCTCCTGAGTATAAAGTATTTGCAGGAATATCTACGTCCATTGGTGAGTATACATAAAAATCAAAGATACTTTCTTCCGCCAAAATTCTGACCACCTCCTCATGGAAAATTGGGCCTGATTGGTTTAGCTGTTTTCCCTTCTCATTAATTCGATACAAAAAAAGTCAATTATATAGATTTTATGTAAATTGATAAAAATACCTATTAATCCACCAAATTTTCATGCGCAGCTACCGCAGCTGTTTTTATGGTGACTCTGATATTTCCAACCTTATCGTCTTACATCCATCCTCACGGAACCTACTGGCTCTTCTCTGCTGTCTGCTTCCTTACATGTGGATTTTATTTAATCCTTATGCCGGAAACTAAAGGATTGTCTATACTGCAGATCAGAGAGCTCTTCAAAAAGAAAGAAAATCTAAAGGCGGATGAATCTCTTAAAAAGTAAAAGAGTTTTTCCAAACATGTGGTGACCATTTAAGATATTTAAGATATCTTTAAAAAATTGTAAACTTTGAATAAATTGGATTAGGAAAATTTAATCTTTATTTAATGAGCTATAAGACCTGTATCCTTTGCATTTCTTGTTTTGCGAAAATTTCGTATTTTTCGTAAAACAGATTAAAGCAAAATTTTGTGAAAAAAGCCAAAATTTTCGCAAGAAGTTAGAAATTTTTGGCGAAACTTTTTTTCTCGCGAATTTTGGGAGGCGATTTACCCTTTTCGCTTAAAACCCTAATTACAATAAAAAACTAAAGGTGCACGCATTTCTAATATACGTAGTGATACAGTAGGATTCAATGTATTTGCCCTAAATCATCGTGCGTTAATAGTTTCAATTAGACCGCGAATGAAGAATGAATCATTTTGAAAAATTTAATAAGTCTAATATATATATATTTTTTTTTGTAGAAAATGCTCCTTCTTTCCAGTATTTTGTTTGTATTTTGTCGTTAAAGATTATAGATAATCTAATATTATATGGGACGCTCTGTATATAAGAACTAAACTTCGAATTTAAAAGTGTAAACATTGGATATTGAAACCTTTAAAAACAGAGAAATATATCAGCCAGTCACAAATTCTAGAATCCTCAGCGCTCTATTTAAAAAAAAATAGAAAAAAATCTGTCACCCATATTTTCAAGGAACCTGGAACGACCACAGTTAAATTTGTTTTCTCCTTTTTTCATCACATATCACAGTTCTTAGAAATGGCTTTAAAAGTTTCTTTTGGAAGACGACATACTTACTTGATATTATCATGAAAGGATAGGATAGGATAGGATAGAACACACGAAGGATAGGTAGAGAAAAGGAAGATTTATGGAAGATACCAGGAAAGATAGAGCACAGGAAGAATAGACACCAGGAAAGATAGAAAATAGGAAGAATAGACACCAGGAAAGATAGAGCACAGGAAGAGTAGACACCAGGAAAGATAGAAAATAGGAAGAAAAGACACCAGGAAAGATAGAGCACAGGAAGAATAGACACCAGGAAAGGTAAAAAATAGGAAGAGTAGACACCAGGAAAGATAGAAAATTGGAAGAATAGACACCAGGAAAGATAGAGCACAGGAAGAATAGACACCAGGAAAGGTAAAAAATAGGAAGAGTAGACACCAGGAAAGATAGAAAATTGGAAGAATAGACACCAGGAAAGATAGAGAATAGGAAGAATAAACACCAGAAAAGATTGAGAATAGGAAGAATTGGCACCAGGAAAGATAGAGAATAGGAAGAATAGACACCATGGAAAGATAGAAAATAGGAAGAATAGACACCAGGAAAGATAGAGAACAGGAAGGATAGAGACCAGGAAGGATAGAGACCAGGAAAGATAGAGAACAGGAATGATAGAGAACAGGAAGGATAGACACCAGGAAAGATAGAGAACAGGAAGGATAGAGAACATGGAAGATAAAGAACGGGAAGGATAGAGAACAGGATGGATGGAGAACAGGAAGGATGTAGAACAGGAAGGATAGAGAACATGGAGGATAGAGAACAGGTAGAATAGAGAACAGGATAGATGTTGAATAGGAAGGATAGAGAACAGGAAGGATAGAGAACAGGAAGGGTGAAGAACATGAATGATAGAGAACAGGAAGAATGGAGAACATGGAGGATAGAGAACAGGAAGGGTGGAGAACAGGAAGGATAGAGAACAGCAAGGATAGACTGAGAACAGGAAGGGTGGAGAACATGAAGGATAGAGAACATTAAGGATGGAGAACAGGAAGGATAGCTGGAGAACAGGGAGGATAGAGAACAGGAAGGATAGCTAGAGAACTGAAAGGATATAGAACAGGAAGGATAGAGAACAGGAAGGATAGCTAGAGAACAGGAAGGATAGAGAACAGGAATGATAGAGAACAGGAAGGATAGCTAGAGAACAGGAAGAATAGAGAACAGGAAGGATAGCTAGAGAACAGGAAGGATAGAGAACAGGAATGATAGAGAACAGGAAGGATTGCTAGAGAACAGGAAGAATAAAGAAAAGGAAGGATATAAAACAGGAAGGATAGAGAAAAGGAAGGATGGAGAACAGGAAGGATAGCTAAACGAGAGAACAGGATGGATAGAGAACAGGAACGATAGAGAACAACTGAAGGATAAAAGTTGAGAACAGATGGGTTAGATTAAGAGAACATGCGGAAAGGGGGGGGGGGGTATCCGATGTCTGAAAGGAAGAATAAAAGACTAAAATAAAAGTTTCTAGACTAAGTATTATATCTTTGTGTCAGATAAATCTCTTCCTATATCCGTCCATACCCGTACACACACACAGACACCCCTTCGTGTCCTTGGTTCTTAGCCGTCGGTAAATGGGTAAAAATCTTGTCTGTGTAGAAATCTTGCTTGCACTATCTTTAAATTGCACACACATCTAAACTTCTCATATTACAGGATTCTATACCGGTTAAGAACTATGTAGTGGATGGTTCTTACATATACTTTTAACCGAGTGAGCGCAGGGGCATTTAGACCCCTCTTTATACACACTTGTAAATGTATTGCATATCACCAAACCTCTTACAATTATTACATTACTTGTTTTCAAGGAATTAAAACTGTCTTAAAACTAATTACTGATAAACTTCAACAGATTAGTGTATCATAAAACATGTATAAGAATTGTTTTCATCTGCAATGTTTTTTTCTAATCGATTGAAATCTTTTGTAGTCTCAAGTGTTATTTCTTTTAATCTCCTCGTTTAATGTTTACTCCCATAAAATATGATAAATGGAATACAGGGAATACATGAAAAACAGAGAATACAGGGAATACAGGGAACACAGAATATACAGGGAATAAAGGGAATACATTGAATACAGATAATAAAAAGAATACAGGGAATAAAGTTAATACAGGGAATATGTGGAATGCATGGAACACAGAGAACACAGGGAATACAGTGAATACATGGAATTCAGAGTTTACAGAGAATACAGGGAACACAGAGAACACGAGGAATACGGGAAATACAGAGAATACAGGGAAAACAGGAAATACAGGAAATACAGAGAATACAGAAAATACAGAAAATACAGAGAATACAGAAAAAACAGGGATTACATGGAAAACAGGCAATACAGAAATACAGGAACACACAGAGAATACGGGGAATTCAGGAAATACAGGGAATATAGGAATACAGGGAATACAGGGAATACAGGGAATACAGGTAATATAGGGAATTCAGGAATACAGGGAATACATGATATACAGTAAATACAAGAAATACAGGGAATACAAGAAATACATGGAAAAAGGGGATAACAGAAAATACTCCTTGTATTCCTTTTATTCCCTATATGCCATGTATTCTCTGTATTCCCTGTATTCCCTGTATTACCTGTATATACATAGTTGAACAAAAACTAGTTGCTAAAATAAAAATGCTTGAGTAAAATGCTGTAGTTAAATTTTATCTCATCTCTTCACTATTATGTTATCTCTTGGGAATGTAATTTTATTTCCTTAAGAATGATATTATCTCTTGTAGTATCATGTTATCTCCTGTAGTATCATGTTATCTCCTGTAGTATCATAATATCTCCTGTAGTATCATGTTTTCTCCTGTACTTTCATGTTATCTCCTGTAGTATCATAATATCTCCTGTAGTATCATGTTTTCTCCTGTACTTTCATGTTATCTCCTGTACTATCATGTTATCTCCTGTAGTATCATAATATCTCCTTCCACCATCACCCTCCCTTCTTAAAACTTCTTTCTTACCCTTCCTCCTCAAAATTCCCTCCGCGTTACCAAGGTCCTAATGCAAGGAAAGTTATTTCAGAGGTGTACGCATATATTGTACTGCAGAGTACTGTCTATGAGCGGTAATGTAAACACAAGACGGATGTCGAAGCTTGACATGGGATCCATCTTTTACATGAAAAATCAATGAAATATTCTTGTCATAGGAAACTATTATGTGAATTATCAAAATTGTCAAAATTTAATGATTTTAACCTTCTCGGATACTAAACGAACACTGATGCATCTATTCTTGTTTACAAATTCTGCTCAGAGAGAACTGGTTTCAATATTTACGCAGAGTATACGCAACTGCAATTAACTTTCCTTGCATTATTACCTTGCTCGTTACAAGAGCTGAATTACGCTGGAAAGTACTATGATTGTAAGTTAACCCATATTTTGGCTTAACCCTATCCCGGTTGGGCTATTTTTGTGTATTAAGGTTGGGGGGAGGTTTTTGCCCTTCGAGTTGAGATAGGGGAGTGTGAAACATGTCCTTAGTCAACCTGTACACGGCCTGCTCATTAAACAATTAGACCTCCAACTTTAATGCATGGTTAAAAAAGAAAGTACGTCGAAAAAATGTTCAAAATAATTATTTAAAATTTCACAAATATTTACATGTGACACATGTTATAACATTAATTTTTTCAATCACTTTTCAAATATATAGACTGTAGTTTAATTAATATAACAGTTATTAAGTATTTCGGTTTTTTTTTAAACACCGACCAGTCATTTGGCTGTCCTCTACCCTACCCTATGCATCAAAAAAAAAATGGCCAAATTTGTTCACAAATAATGATGCTAAAAAAGTAAAGACGTTTTTGCGTTGTAATGTATGCTGCTTTTAAGTTATTTTGAAAAAAACCACAGGGGTGTGTGTGTTTTGGACCCCTCCCCCCCCTCCAACCTTGATAGGGTTAATGAATAGTGATAACACTATCAAAATATCAAAGAAGTAAAATATAAATGTGACGTGAAATTAATTAATTGTCTTTCACTACGCTTGATTTGGATATTGCTACTCTGTATCGGTATGTTGCAGACCACTAATTAGAGCAGTATTGCAACGGAGAAGTTTAAACGTCACCTCCAGCAGATTTTACGGTATAAGTTTAATATCTCACCATGGGAGAGTTCTCTTCTTGTTAAATTAGTCTACTGTTTACAAACATAAAGACACCCATATACTTTAATATCTATATATAAATTTGGCTTGTCTGTCTGTTTGTCTGTCTGTTTGTATCCAATAAAAGTCAAAACGGCTGAA